TTTGCAAAAATTGACTTCGCAAAGCCATTGAAATGTATTGAGTCAGCTACAATACATTCCAATGGAGGAAACATTGTATCATTTAACGATGTTTCCTATGGGTTTTTTCGTTTAAGGACGGCAATCCGTGCCTATTGGAACAGATTAACCGGTTTCCAATGCATTCCTATGGAAATTGGTGTTTCGCATAATGATGTTTCACATAACGTTTTTTTTTTTGGAACCAATTAAAATCGTTATGCGAGGCTCCACTGTATAGTGTACCCATACAACATTCACACAGACACCCAGAGAGCAGGCCCACATGCACAAAACATAGAAAATCCCCAAACACTCCCCACCCACTAAAAATCCCCCACTAAGAATAGAAACATTTACACCGCAGGCTAAGTAACACTGTCTAACTACTGGTGGTCTTTAAGCTCATTATGAAGTGCAATTATAGCTCTGGCATAAAAGCTATTCAGAAAATGTGTGGTCCGAGTCTTAATTGTTCTATGTCTTCTGCCAGAAGACATCAACAGTTCAAAAAAGTTGTAAGCAAAATGGGAAGCGTCTCTCAGGATGTTGTGTGACTTTGTCAGGCTGCGGGATATGAAGATGTCATCCAGGGTTGGTAGCTGGAGCCTGATGATATTCTGGGCAGTTTTAATGGTTCTCTGTAGAGCTTTTTCGTCTGCTACAGAGCTACTCCCAAACCATGCCCAGAATGCCATAGGTTAGGACACTCAATGGTGCTATGATAGTAGGACAGAAGTAAATGTCCACGAAGAAGAGCCTCGTGACGTAGTGGTTAAACTGCTGTACTGTAGCTGAAAACTGTGCTCACGACCTGAGGTTCAAATCCCAGGTAGTCGGCTCAGGGTTGACTCAGCCTTCTATCCTTCCGAGGTCAGTAAAATGAGTCCCCAGCTCGCTGGGGCGGGGGGGAATGTGTAGCCTGTATAATTAACTTGTAAACCCAGAGAGTGCTTGAAGCGCTATGGGGCGGTATATAAGCAGCACGCTTTGCTTTTTTTTTTAATGGTGAGATAAATTTAACTTCCCAAGCATTCTCAGGGAATACAGCCTCTTCTGTGCTTTCTGCACTAGCCTGTTGGCATTTATAGTCCATGAGAGGTCCTCTGAGATGCAAGTGCCCAGAAATTTAAAACTACCAACTCTTTCCACTTTCTCGCCATTTATGTACAGTGGTAAATGTACATTTCTCTTTCTCCTAAAATCAATTATGAGTTCTTTAGGTTTTTTTTATGTTAAGTGTAAGATTATTTTCTTTGCACCAGAGTATCAATCCTTGTACTTCCTTTCTGTAAGCAGACTCATTGTTCTTATTTATGAGCCCCACCACTGTCATATTGTCCACAAATTTAATAATTGCATTGGTGTTATATATAGTGGAGTGCAATTGTGTGTACAGGGAATAGAAGAAGGGACTTCGCACACAGCCCAGGGGAGCTCCTGTACTTACTTACTTACTTACTTACTTACTTACTTACTTACGCACACAGCCCAGGGGAGCTCCTGTACTTACTTACTTACTTACTTACTTACTTACTTACTTACTTACTTATTTATTTATCCGCCCCGAGTAGACATGGTCTAGAGGGGCGGGGTATAAATTTAATGAATAAATATTTATTTGATTGATTGATTGATTGATTGATTTATATCCCGCCCATCTGGTCTGGTCGACCACTATGGGTGGCTTACAAGTTAATTATGCAGGCTTAATTATAAGTATAATACTAATTATACTTAGTACCAGGGTAGAAGAATGGTGAGATCCAATCCTTACTGTGGCCTATCTGTCAGAAAGTTCTTGGTTCATTGCTCCAGGACACCTTTTTGGAACCAAACTTGGGGAATTTTTGCCAAGTGTGGGCCATTTTCTGGGTTTCCCTGAACTGAATTGAGTCAGGGTTGCTGGCAGCTAGGCTTGGGAAGCGCTGTGATGCTGCTCTTGACGGCTGCAGTGGGGAATCTATCTTTGCCAAGTCTGACTCTTTGAGAGCGTGGGAGCATTTCCCCCTTCTATACCCACCACTTCCAGAATCTCCCAACCAGCATATTTGCTATGGATTTCTGGGAGGTCTGGTCCAGATGACCTTGAAAAATAAGTTGGATATATTATGGAAGCTCCGAGTCAGAGTCCATCAGGAAAAATGTTAACGACACCAGAGTGGGCGATTGCCAGGGGCCTACACTTTGCCCTGTGTTTGAGTCCCTTCTGGTTTTGAGAAAAAGAAAAAGGAAGCACTGCCTGGACAGACATCAGCCTCCAGGGAGAATTGACGGGACCCACCATGCCACCAGAGGTTTCTCAGGCAAGAGGGGCCACTTGAGTGCCCTGAGATCTTGGGAAGGGGCACCTCTGCGCTACAGTGAGCAGCCAGCAGCACCTCAAGGTTGGAGCTGCCAAGACTTTGGAAGCTGGGGCTTCTTGCTGTCCAGCCGTGGATCCTTGAGCTCTCCTCCTGGCCTTCAGTGAAGACCCACCGCCTGTGCGCCCTGCGCAGGAGTCGCCCTTGTTTGTGACCCTCGGTTTCTTCTCCTCCGCAGGTGCGCCAGGAACTCGCCTCCCCCTCCGACTTCTACCCTGCCACCCTGGGGCAAGGCAGCCAGAGCAGCTTCCTGACCGGCCCAGGCCCTGCCCAGCAGGTGAGCCAGTCTCTCCTTCCTGCAGCCAAGACCCACCTCTGGAAAGCCACCCGCTCCTAATCGCGCCCTTGTTGGTCTCTTCCGCCTCAGGTCCTCCTGCCCGTGGTGGAACCGCCCCAGCTACCCCCGGTGGTGAAT